CCTTGATAGGACCTGGTAAATGAGGTTCTAGTGTTGTCTAGATATGTAGGCTTAGTTTGTTGAATTACCTTTCAGCAATATCCACACTTCACTTAACACACTTGAGGCTTGACCCGTGAAACATGTGGAAAAGCGAGGCATGTTGATCCAAACTTGGAAACTTCCTATTCCTGTGTAAAGGAATTTGAATACTCCCTAAGTCTAGATAGTGTTCCGGTGGCATAGCACCTGAAGCATTTAACTACTAACCAGAAGGCTGGTGGTTCAAGCTCACCAGCCACTCCTCGGAATGAAGGTTGGGCAATCTACTTCCATAGTGATACCACCTTGGAAACCCAAGGACGGGTGGCCATGAGTTGGATCCAATTTGACAGCAATACGTTGCATTGTTGTAAGTCTAGATATTTAATAGTATTAGTTTCTGGCCCAACTGTTCACCAATAGGAGCTACAATGCCACACACCAAACAGAAACATTCTGTAAGATTGAGCTATTAATTTATGTAGAATGAATTAATACGTCTGGTCTAATGTTTCCAAACATTTTGAGCAATATTGAATTTTATTTTTTGAACTAAAGTGGCCCGGTGGAATACAGCCATAGCCATCAGAATGCCAATGTATAACTCCTACTTTTTATTCATTGATACACTGAAGCTGTGCTTACAGTTAATGAAGCGTTGACTACCCTAATCAAGAAATTCTTATTTATTTTTTAAATTTAAATTATTTGTATAGGTTGTTTCTCTATAGCCATTAGGAGGTTTTAGATTTTTCAGAAGAAAAGGTAGGACTTTTGCCAGAATTTATGAAGTCCAAGAATATCACAATTAGGTATGCTTCACACTGAAAACAACTTTAGAAGGGCTGAATTTTTTGTAATACCTTTATTATCTGTATATTTTGTTCTGCACAAAATAGAGGAGAAACATATTAGGCAATTTTTAGATTTCATACTTGGTAGCTCTTATAATGGATTAGAGAAAAAATTTTGCTCTTAATGAAAAATAGGGGCATGTGCCCCGATTAAAAGAGTCTACTTTTTGGAGCTATAATACATAAAAACATTTTAAAATTACTATCTAGAATGCTTTGGTTCATAGTGTATATTATTTTGAATAATTCACTAATATTTGTCAACAGAATGCCCTCTTTCAATAAAGTCCATTCAAGTAGATTCTAATTGTATTGTATTGCTAACTACAGGTATTACTACTTGATCACGAGAGGAAAAGCATCATTATTTTCTTATTTTACAAATTAAATATTGTTTAGTCTTGCATATCAGAATAAAATACATATTTATCTTGTTTTTAAAATTAAATATTCACCATTTACCTCCTATAATCAATTTCAAAAATTTGTTCCATGTAAATTTTAAAAATCATCAGGTTTTTCTTAACTTGTTTCCTTATTTTTAAGCTAGTATTTAGCATTTCATCATGGTAAATACTATGGCTTTTATTTCTCCACTAAGCTTTGCTATCTGCATTTGGTTTTGAAGTGAAAATGGTTTATGTTTTTAGACTTTAAAATTAAAAGCTTCAATTTAATTCATGAAAGCTCATTTGACCTTTGGGGAAAAAAAAAAAGAATTATTCTCAGAATTTTTGAGGCAGTTCCATAATGAAGTGTGAAGTGTATTGATGGTAAGTCAGCAAGCAGTCTTTCAGGTCTGTGCTAGGTACTTATCTGCAGAATGGAATGTACGAATGAGGCTGGAGTGCCTCCCTGAACTAGGATTACACTCAATCATGTCCATAGATCTATTGCACTGGTATCTGTCCAGTAATGTCAAGCTATAAAGTTTTTTTCCTGTGTCTGAGTTTACAAATGCAAAACAAAAATTTCTTGAATGAATTGTAAATACAGACATTGGAATTTAGCATCCTATTACAGAATTGAGTTTTATTCTATAATGTTGTTGTTGTTGTTGTTATGTGCCGTCGAGTCAGACCGGACTCACAGTGACACCTTCTTGGGTTTCTGAGGCAGTATCACTACGAAAGTAGATTGCCCAACTTTCCTTCCGAGGAGTGGCTGGTGGGTTTGAACTGCCAGCCCTCTGGTTAGCAGTCAAATGCCTTAGGCACTAGAATAAAACAATAAAAAACTGGGAAGTGGTTCCCTTTTTTAAAAAAATGTGTGAAAACAGTTTATATTCTATCAGTAGAAAATGGCTTACTTTAAGTTGTATGGTATCGAAATATACTGTCATCTTTGTCATGCATGGGAGCTCTGGTGGCATAGTGGCTGAGGCATTTGGCTGCTAACCAGAAGGCTGGTGGTTCAAACCCACCAGCTACTCCTCAGAAGGAAGGTTGGGCAATCTACTTTGTAGAGATACCGCCTCAGAAACCCAAGGAGGGGTCACTATGAGCTGGAAATGACTCAATGGCAGTGAGTTTTGTTTTTTGTCATGCACTGTGCTAGAAATAGTATTTTCTTATATAAGCAACCATTTGCTTTTGTTGTTGTTCCTCATTGGGAAAAATAGACACACCAAATTCCCAGCAATAGAGGACTGAATATAGTATGGAATAGTATACATGCATTTAAAAAGCATGTTTTAAGAAAATATTTATTCCTAAATAACTCAAAATGATTTTACAGACAGTACTCATGGTTTTTCCTGCTTTTCACATTTATCATTCATTTTACATTTAATAATTTTCATATTTACATCTCATTTCTTTAATTTACCTGCTTATTTTAAGTTTCCTTATGTCTCAATAGGAGCTCTGGTAGCATAGTGCCTCAGGTATTTGACTGCTATCCAGAAGGCTGGAGGTTCAAACCCACCAGCCACTCCTAGAAGGAAGGTTGGGTAATCTACTTCCATAATGATACTGCCTTGGAAACCCAAGGAAGGCTTGCTATGAGTCAGATCCAACTCAACGGCAGTGCATTGCTTTGCATTTTGTTTTACGTCTAAGTAAGGCAATAACAAATGAAGGTCTTGAAAGCTTTCTCTTTTCCATATGAGTAAGGCTGGGTTTACTCAGATGTTGCAACTCTTTCCCAGTCCTATTTTGAGAGCC